ACCGTACATCGGCAGATCAGCACTCTGTTATCCCATTCCTAGCAGGCTACCTCACGTGTGAAGAAGTGGAAATTGAGAAGTTGAAAGCTGACCTATCTCCATAGCAGACGTGGATATCGTGTAAAACTTTAATTTTAAGTACTACATGACCTTTTACATTTGAACTTTTACCATGGCCTTTCACCCTTATTTAGCTTATCCTTTACTCCCCGTGAATGGAGCCATTTTTGCTGAAAGTTTAGGATTTTCCATTCTAAATATAGCATTCCTCTTTCTCTCTCTCAGCACATACAGTCTAAGGAATGAAATCAGCAACATGCAGAACGAGGATATGCTGCCTCATTTATTACATTGAACCTCCCCCAGAATCACCGTGGCTAAATGCCGTCAAAGTAAATAAGAAAACAGAGATGTGCGTATTGTGACAGTTCTCGTCAATAAAAGTTAAACTTCACATAGTTAGATAACCGGGGTCTTAGAAGTCCTGACCCGTATAGGGTACAAGTCGGTCCCTGATTTGGGGGGCCGGGCCTCATTACTCCTTTGTAATGTGGGCATAATTGAAGTTAGTACGGAAGCCAGTCTCCTATGCAGGGTCCGTCTGAAGCAGGCGTAGAGGACTGATCTCGATCACGCCGATGATATGGTCTTTAATAGCACCAAGCTTTGATGATAGGCGGTCTATGAGGTCGGTAAATCGGTAGGTTTAGCCATGAACGCTGGGAAGACCACAGTGTTTTCAAGCCGCAAGCCTGACCGGGAAAAGTCACCCCTGGAGGAGTAATAGCTGCCAATTTGAAGGAGACAGTTTCAAATACTTCGGGTCGAGGCTGCTATCGAATTGGCAGAGTAAGGATGACATTGCCTCCCGAATCTGCTCTGCTGCTCGCCGGGTTTTCTCAAGCCTTAGAAAGCGCTTACGGATCCCACGCGACACCGCCATCGCCACGTAGATTTGCGTGTACCGTGCATCCACCCGGTTTGTCCTTCTCCATGTTTGTGAATGTTGGGCTGCACGAGTTGAGCATGGACGAAGACTGGAGGCATTTCGCCACCACTGTTTCAGTGAATCACACCGAATTCGTCTCAGTTGAGACAGCCCACACTCGCTGCGGCAGAATCGCAAGGATATTTTAATTCATCATCCAAAAAGACTACTGAGTTATTTTGGGTACGTTCTTCGTTGTCCGCCCCACGAGATTAGCGTTAAG